CCACACAGCATACGTAATACGCTGATATGATGAATGTAACTGCAGTTGTGGGCAGACTGAGAAGTTCTAGGCCCGGGGTGGGCAATAATTTTTGGAGGGCATGGCACTTCAGTAATGTCGGGAAGGTGGAGACTTCACATGCTCCCCTGCAAGGCAGGGGAGCACGTGAAGTCTCTCACCCACTCTCTGCCCTGCCAGAGGAGCACAGTGCCTAGAGGGAACCACCAGCCGTTTTGCACCCACCCCTGGTGAGGGAGAGGAGAGACTTCATGCACACCCTGCCCAGGCTTCGATTGTCCTGGGAGCGGGGGTATGGCAGGGCAGGATGTGCAATGCCTTGAGGTACCCCCCAGCCATTATGAACAGCTGGTGGTTCCTTCTAGGAATTGCATGCCCCTGGTAGTGGGAGGAGACTTTATGTGCAACCTTGCCTGATTGTCCTGGGGACAGGAGTGCGGCAAGGCGAGCCACAGGCCGGATCAAATGGCTGGCAGTTCTCTCCAGGCATTGCGGAAGGGTGGGGTGAGGGCAGAAGACTTTGCACACACTCCCCATTCTCACCCCCAGGCTCCAATAGGCGATTCCCTCTAGGTGCCACATACCCCTGGTGGGAAGAAGAGAGTTTTCACGCTCTCCCACCAACAGGTCCCAATTGGCCAGGGGGCGGAGGCGTGGCAGAGTGGGGAATGGCTTGGATGTAGCCTGCAGGCCGAATCTTGCCCACCTTTCTTCTAGGCAGCGCTTTCTTTCATGGCCATGCTATTTCCAGTGGTTATTTTCAGTTAATCATTATGTAACAACACAGGGACGGAATAAACAATGTTTTTGTTTGTTAGAGATGACAGTGCATCAGTAGCCTGTCGCTTCTCTCTAATGTTTGTTGCTACTGATTTCTGTAGTAATCCTTAATTTGTGCAAATAATTTTTCCAACAATCTTCTAGCAGTTTTATGGATTCTGTGTATGTAACCCTTTTTATGGCTATTAGTGTAATATTTATTTTAATATATTTAACTTCGTAATAAACATTTGTGCTTTGATCAGTATCTTGGGCTATGGAAAAATCACCTTATTTTTAGTGAAATGCACTAAATATTGACTTAAAAGCTACAGGAGACATTCAAATGAGTGAATATTTAGAAAAAAGATTAAAAGTATTTACATATGATATTTGTGTGTTACTTAACAATGTTGTAAATATATGCAGTACCACTGTGCTCAGAGACTGTACTTGGAAATAACAAGGGAACTAGCAGATTAATATCAAGGTAAAGGTACATATTCCCTAGATGCATAGTTCTACCTTTTCAGCTTTTATTATCTTTAGAATAGTGCTCCATTTATTTCATGAATACAGAAGTTTTAATTGGCTATGACATCTTCCAAAGACAAAAGAAGGTTCTAATTCACTCTAACAAACTTATTAGTCACTGTTTATATCAAGAGGATTGCTAATCTACAGAGAATAATGCTGTTTTCTTCTACTCCTGCTTTGTTTAGAAATCAAAAGTTTTTAACTGACCTGCAGTGTTTGCAAGTGGTTTAAAATGATATTTCCAGAGCAAACCAAATGCAGACATTTTCACCTTAAGTGTAATTCTTTCAGTTAGTGTAGAAAAAATCCTAAATATTTAACTCGCATTTCTACAATTGGGTTCTTCTGTTTTCAACATTACTTTATACCTACCCTAAGGAAGTTATTCCAAGATTTACTATTATTCTTTGTGAACCACTGAAGAATGATAATTTAGCACCTTTTTGTTCGGATTCCCCTTACATATGAACAAGGGAATGGATATACTGGGTCAGGCCAAAAGTACATCTAGCCCAGTATCCAATCTTCTAGTAGTCATCAATGCCAGGTGCCCCAGAGGGAATGAACAGAACAGGTAAACATCAAATGATCCAGTCCCCGTTGCTCATTCACAGCTTCTGGCAAATAGACTAACGGGACACCATTCCTTCCCATCCTGGCTAATAGCCATTGATGGACCTATTTTCCATGAACTAATCTAGTTCTTTTTTATTGAACCCTGTTATAGGCTTGGCCTCCACAACATCCTCTGGCAAAGAGTTCCAAAGGTTGACTGTGTGTTGTGTGAAGAAATACTTCCTTTTGTTTTTTTTTAAACCTGCTACCTATTGGACTCATTGTTCTTGTGTTATGAGAAGGAATCAATAGCACTTCTTTATCTACTTTCTCTACACACGTTATTTTATAGATCTCTGTCATATTAGCTCTTTACTCATCTTTTTTCCAAGTGAAGAAATCCCAGGTTTATTAAACCTCATATGGAAGCCATTCCATAAGCTTCATAATTTTGTTGCCTTTTTCTGAAACTTTTCCCATTCCAATTCTTTTTTGAGATGGGGCAACTACATCTGCACAGAATATTCAAGATGTGGCCATGCCATAGATATAGCAAGAGGCAATATGATATTTTATGTCTTTTATCTGTCTTTCATAATAATTTCCAAAATTCTGTTTATTGTTTTGATTGCTGTTGCATATTAAGTAGATGTTTTCAGAGAACTATCCACAATGACTCCAAGATCTCTTTGATGAGTGGTAATAGTTAATTTAGACGCCATCATTATATATATCAGGTTGGAATTATGTTTTCCAAGTGCATTACTTTGCATTTATCAATATTACATTTCATCTCCCATTTTGTTGCTCAGTCATCCAGTTTTGGAAAATTCTTTTTGTAGTTCTTCATAGTCCGTCTGGGACATAAATATCTTGAGTAGTTTTGTATCATCTTCAGATTTTGCCTCCTCACTGTTTACCCCTTTCTCAGATCATTCAGATTATTTATAAATATGTTTAATAGGACTGGTCCTAGAACAGTCCCCTGAGGGACACTACCATTATGAAAACTGACCATTTATACCTAGCCTTTGTTTCCTGTTGTTAAACCAGTTACCAAAGCCATGAGTGGATGTTTCCTTTTATCCTATAGCAGCTTACTTTACTTAAGAACTTTTGGTTAATGACTTTGTCAATAGCAGGGGGCCCAAATTCCCAGCCAGTAGGCCATCCCCATCCAGAGAGATTGTGCAATTTGGCCCGGGACTCCCAGCGGGCTGAGGGGGGCCTGTCTGTTACCAGCCCCCAAACCCTGTCCCTTCCCACCATCACCCTACCATCTTCTCTTCCCCCTGTGGCTCCTTTCACCAAAAACCAAGTGGAGCACACTGGACGAGTGCACTTGCTCCATTTCCCCATGGCTCCTACTGTCACAGGGAGTGTGTAGGGGAAAGGGGAATGCAACTGTATGTCGCCAGGTCCTCCCTGTGATTCCTGAGAGATGGAGTGCCATGGGGGGGCAGAGCGTGGGGCGATGGGAGGAAGGTGCAGGGCCTGGGGGCCCGTAATGGACAGGCCTTCCCCCACGGTCTGCCAAGAGTCCTGGGCCAGATTGTGCAATTGCTCCCAAATGGGAGTTTGAGACACCTGATGAAGAATTTTCTGAAAATCAAAATATACTAGATCCACTGGATCCCTCTTCTCCACATGCTTGTTGACTCCATCAAAGAATTCTAGTAGGTTGGTGAGGCAAGATTTTCTTTGACAAAAAATATGTTGACTCTTCCCCAACAAATTACTGTCCTGTATATGTGTGATAATATTGTTCTTTGCGATAGTTTCCACCAGTATGCAAGTACCGAAGTCAGGCTTACTGGCCTGTAAGATCACCTTTTAAAAACTGACGTCAGATTAGCTATCTTCCTGTCATTTGGTACAGAAGCTGATTAAAATGGTAGATTACAGCTAGTAGTTCTGTAGTTTCATATTTGAGTTCCTTCAGAACTCTGGGGGAAAAATGCCACCTGGTCTTGGTGACTTATGGCTGTTTAATTTATCAGTTTATCCTTTTGACTTAGGACTGTTTAATGTATCGGTTTGTTTCAAAATGGCCTCTAATGACATCTGAGTTTGGGACAGATTTGTCACCTAAAAAGAATGGCTCAGGTTTGGGAAACCATACCTTCAGCCATGAAGACCAATACAAAACATTCATTTATTTTCTCAGCGTGGCTTTATTGTCTTTGAGTGCTTTTTTAGCATTTCGATTGTCTAGTGACACATCTGGTTGTTTAATATTCTACATGCTTCTGATGTACTTAACATTTTTCTTGCTTTTACTTCTTGAGTCTTTGGCTAATAGTTCTTCAAATTCTGTTTTGGTCCTCCTAATTATATCTTTACACATCATTTGCCAGAGTTTTATTTCATTAGGATTTAACTTCTACTTTCTAAATGATGCCTTTTTGTCTTTCACTGCTTCTTTTACTGAGTTGTTACAATATTATTAATATTTTCATTTAGAAGGTATGTTTTCTTTAAGAACATTTTTTAAACTAGTACTTATTTTGTGGTAATTTTAGTAACTGAAGTGTGGCCTTTGAGTGGTAACTAGAGTCAAGTTTATTCTGGCTACTTTATGGCTTTGTAATTGTTATGAATTCACAACATTACAACTGAATGATGTGTGTGCTTTATCCTGTAAAACACATGATCTTTCATTTAACAAAAAGGGGTTTAAAGTTTCAGTTCATCCTAATTCTGTTACTGTTTGCTTTGTTCACCAATCTCTCTGATCTTCCTGGCAGGGGACAAGACCTTGAGAACAAAATTGGTAGTGACTGTGTAGATAAAAAGGCAATGAATTCTGCTTTTAAGGCATATAGGGAATAGTCTATAAAAGAATGAAAATGGGAATAAAAGTACAGCATCTTTAACCTGCAGATCTATTGTACCTTTGAAAGTCTTGTACTGTGGGGGAAAAACATACTGTGATGCTACATAGATTCATAATTATATGACATAATACTTTGAAAAGAGGTCATTATTTAGAGACTGACCAAAAAGGCTTGACAAGAAAATATACCAGGTTATTGATAATTGAGAAACTAAAGAACGCATCTTCTTAAAATATTTAAGTGTTGTTTTAATGAGGATATATATGTCACAATCTTTTATTAATTCTCTTGTAGAGCTACTCTTCAGACTTGGTGAAGATGATGGGGTCAAAAACATTACTCCAAAGAAGAATGTGAAAGAAATTTCAGATGAGACATTACAGAAGGTACAATACCAAGCCCAGCAAGTTAAATCTAAATTTTAACATAAAGGATCATATGTTAAAGTCTGAACACATGAACTGAAGCTCTGTGTTTCATTTTTAATTTCCTTTCATAATTCGAAAACATTCACTGCCAAAGTTATGTCAAAAATCAATGTTAGTGCAGTAGTTATTGACGCATCAGGTGAGATAAATGCTGTTAATGTCAGAGCAAATTAAAAATGTATTTAAAGACAAAATGCAGTGCAAAAAACCAACAGATTATCTAAGTTAAAATAGCAACATATGCTTACTGTTCACAGCTTTTGAGTTCTGAAATCTTTATTTTCTTTTGCCAAAGTTTATTTAACTGTCCACAGTATCAGATGTGAATTCACACAGCTTTTTTGCTAGAGAATCACATTTGTATATAATACTGATTTGGTAGTAAATTCACTTCTTATATTTTTAAGCTTTAAAACAATATTGTATATAAAAAGTTCTTAAATATGTAACCTCTCTCTAAAAATGGTACCGTGTGTGTGTGTGTGTGTGTGTGTGTGTGTGTGTGTGTGTGTGTGTGTGTGTGTGTATGGTACCGTGTCTATATATAAGCCTACTTTTAAATATATATATATAAGTATATATATATATAGTAGGCTTATTGGTTTAACAGATAAACTGTATATTTAAAAGAAAATCCAACTTACTATACTCTATTTTTCACATTTTATTTGTACAGTAATAAGGTATTACTACAGTTTCTCTAGTGATATTTTTACTTTGCATAAATAGTTTTGTGTGTTACAGGTGTTCACTTAAAAGGTCACAGTTGTATTTTACCATATGTTTTTGTTTGGCGCAAAGAAAATGCATTTTTCAGATAGGCCTATGCCTTTAGTATGTCATTTGGCCTAATTATATCATTGTGGTTAATTAAACCTTGAAGATCATTCTTAAATTGAATAAACACAAATATGTAACTTAAAATGTCAGTATGGCTATTTCTATTTTTCTTTTAGTTGTGAATTAATTTGTAGGAAGTACAGTAATTTACAGCAGATGACGTGATTGCACCTACTTGTAATACTTGCCATATGGTCAGGTAATGAAGGCTGTCATCTCGTTATTACTGAATGACAAACATCATGTTAAAATAATAACATGCAGAACAGGAAATGCTCACATTCATTTATCTTAAGGCAGAGTGAGTAATTGAAATAATTTGAGCACTACAGTCTAGGATTTCACACAGTTTATGCTAGGTTATTATTTATATTTCAGAACTATCATTTGTTTACTAGGTACTGTATAATTTTTATCTCCATGGATATATAGTGTTGAGATAGTATTTTAGGTTGTACACTCCGAAGATATTTGTTGTTTCCTTTCAACTGTCATAAGTGATTTTAAATGACAATGAATATAAAAGGTGTTTTAAAGAACGCAGAAATAAGGACAGCTCAAGTTGGAAGGGTTAAATGCACAATGAGTGAATAAAGAGTACCATACTGACTTTTAACCACTGGAGGTGTGGGATCAAATTCTAATCTTAATCATATATACAGTGGGTAAAATCTTAGCTTCATGGAAGTCAATAGCAAAATTCCCTTGGATTCCAGTAGATTCAGGGTTTCACCCAATGAGTTAATGCTGTCAGAGACTAATTCTTTGTTCACTGTAAAGCTGCTATATGTTTTGTTCCAGGGAGGTGCAGGTATTCAGTGGATAAGTATAGAAGATCTGATTTCAAACTCATTGGAAAAATATATTAGGATGTTTGAACCTCACTATTCCTAATTTAACAAGTGTACTCAGACCCTTTACTGTCATTTGAACTAAATTAATCTGTCACACCAAATAATTCTATACAATTTAAAACTATTACCAACTTTCAACATAATAGTGTCTATTGGTACTTCTAATATTTCTTCAGAAATACAGTTCAGTTTAAAAGTTTTAACATTTAATACTATTTTGGGCATTCCACACTCTTGCTAATATCCTATAAAATGGGTATCTAAAGTCTGCTAAATTCTGCTATAGGTACCTGATTTTCCAAAGAGCTGAGCACTCAGCAGCTCCCACCGAAAACAGAGTGGAGAAAGAACTGTGGTACATCAGTTCTTAGGTAAATGACAGAGATTTTTTCCAGTGACATATCAGCACAAGTTGCATTGATTTTTTCAAAAGACACTTACTTAGGCACTTTGGAAAAATCTTACCTGAGTAACTGTTCCCTTTTAGGGGCCTACTTCAAATTAGATGATGATCACTGCTGAATAATGGGCCGGAAGGACAGTAAGAATCAATTATCAGAGGAAATTTTGAGTTTGTTTAGATATTATAGTTCATCAGCAACCAAACACATGCATCATTTGGGCATAGCTAGCTTTTAGGTATGAATGAAAATGCTTTCTCAAATAGCATTTGGCAAGCTTGTAAAGAGGTTTCAGTGGGATTGTCCGGATTTTCCTTTGCTGCAAACAGAAAAGTTCCCAGTTTTCATTTTCTTTAGACCCTAACTTCTATTAAAATTTCTGGTTGTTTTTGAAAGGATATATTTACTTTTTTTTAAATAAGCACATCAAAGAGTTTAATTATTTAAATACATTATGCTAAATTATTTGTTCTGAATATAGTTTTTCTGAAAACTTTGTTCAGATTGAATTAGTATGTATAACCAAATCAGTACTGATCTCAGAACGCATAAGCAAGGTTTATTAGCATACTTAGACTTCTGAGTCACTTTGTCTGGAATTTTAACTCCTTTTACCATCTGCCCTTTGCTCAACAGATGTATTATTGCAGTTAGAATGTATTCATCTACACTGCTTTAGAATTATTTTTGAATTAGGCACTTTAGATTACTTTTGTCCTTGTGCTGAATGGAATTTTATTTTCATAAAATAAATCGGATTTGAAGACATAATGTTTTGGTTTTGTTCTATTTAAAAGGTTAAACACAAAGTGTAATGTTTCATTCTAAAATTCAATTTTATTAGGTGTGCCAATTGGAAAAGAGATTCAAAACTCTCGAAAGGGAATCAAAGAAGCTGAAAGAAGTAAACAGACAGTTAACCAAAGATAAAAATGATCTGAAAGCCTCTATAAAATGTCAAAAAGAAGATGCAGATAGAAGAGAGAGAGAGTTAGAGCTGCTCCTGAAGAAGATTAAAGAAATAAAAAAAAACAAAGCAGATCTTCAGTTAGTTATTGATGAGCTGGAAAGAAAAGTTGCCACCCTGAAGAGGGAAGTAGTAGACGCTAACATGTTGAAAAATGAAAATGAAGATCTGCTACATCAAGTGCAGCAATTGAAAAATTCACTGGACAAAGCCAAAGCAGTGGCTACCATGGCTAATGAAGGAGCAAACCATGGGCAATGTAATTGTAAGACAGCAGGCACCAAGGTTAAATTAAAAACAACGAAGAAAAAGAGCTCTCTGGGACGTCACCAGGCTTTTCTCAATCAGTCCATCAAGGTTATGAGCAATGTATTTGAGAACTTCAATAAGGATGGCTGGGAGGATATGAGTGAAAGCAGGTACGGCTCTCATTAACTTAGCTCTATAGAGGGGACACAGTGCATATGTAAAGCACTAGCAAATGGAGATTGAATTTCAACTACTGTCGATTTGGTATTCAGAAAAAATACTGTCAGATCTTTTGAAATATCTTGGGAGGTCTTGTTCTGAGCTTATTGACTGAAATTTGCATGCAAAATTAGCCACTACTGCATGAGTATTTGAATAGGTGCCAGGAAACCCAAAAGAAGGCAATGCTTGATTTCTTCCAGTGATGCTATTTTCATGCAGTCATGAGGCCTGAAATTGACAGTTTGGCAGGTTGATTTAATTTGCTGGCCCTTTGCATATTCACCACTGACAGCTAAGGATTCCCAGGCAAGCCTACTAAGTCGGTTTAGTTATCTTGTGACATGCCGACCCGGGAGGAGAAACATTTTTTCCCCTTAATTTAGTAAGATAAATTTTGAATGACCCATTTCAGCTTGCTAGCAGATGTCTACAAGCTGTTTAACATCCTTTAAATTAAGAACCATCTACACTAATTATTTCATGTATGTTTTATGCACAGTCATTGTACTAACTTTAATTGAATGGTGGTGAAAAATTAGTTCTTTAAAAAAGAGTATTACTGCATAGATGCCCCTTAATTTAGTAAGATAAATTTTGAATGACCCATTTCAGCTTGCTAGCAGATGTCTACAAGCTGTTTAACATCCTTTAAATTAAGAACCATCTACACTAATTATTTCATGTATGTTTTATGCACAGTCATTGTACTAACTTTAATTGAATGGTGGTGAAAAATTAGTTCTTTAAAAAAGAGTATTACTGCATAGATGCCCCCTCTTGCCCCCTCCCCCCCCCCCCAAGCAAACAGCAGAGACAAAATTCTTTTATGTTTAGAATTTGTGCTTCTTCTACCATCTTCCCCCCCCCCATGTGCTCTTCAAGAGACAGCCATTAGCCACAAGGGCTAATGAATAGAAAATGCCACATAGTCTCTCACATTTAGTTCTTCCCAAAAAACAATAGAGAAGCAAATGCTAATTCCACCTTGGGCAGAAGTCCTGGGAGTAGAGACCTTATTTCTTTTCTTGTCTCTTCTCTCCCCATTGATTTTCTGTGTGCCCTAGAGTGGGCTTGTCTACATGAATGTTCAGTTTGTGGCAGTTCAGGTGAGATATAAATCTACTAGCTTGTCACATGCAAAGTGTTCACAGTGGGGCTGTCAATGTTTGCTAAAAGTTCCATAGTATGCTTTAATTTACTCTTATTTAAAGTCGGGCAGATCAAAGCGCACAAGGCAACCATTCGTGCATAGCAGCCGAGTCCACATAGACACCTAGGCTTTGTCTATACTGCCACTTTTTGAAGCAGAAAATATGCTAATGTGGGACTCATTTGCATGAGTCACGATATCATTGGCATATTTTCTGCCATTTGTTTTTGCGCTAGGGGTTTTTGCACAAAAACAAGTAGTATGGACGGGGGGTGGGGTTGCGCAAAATCCCCATTTTGCACAAGATCCTTATGCCTCTCCTGGGAGAGGCATAAGGATCTTGCACAAAACAAGGGTTTTGTGCAAAAAAAAAAAAGTCCAGGCTATTTATGCACATTAGCATATTTTCTGCCACAAAAAGCGGCATTGTAGATGTGGCCCTAGTGTGCGGCAAGTCAGTGTTGGGTATGTTTGTTTATACCCCAGTTGGCCACAAATTAATGCTCATATAGACAAACCAGAGCAGATCACTTAACTTCTCTGTTGCTCAGTTTACCCATGCAAAAAATGGGGCCTAATGGTCCCCGGGTTACATGGATCCGACTTACATCAGATCCCTACTTACAAATGGAGTGAGGCAACCCCGCACTAGTTGCTTCCCCCCAGCAGACCAGGGAGACGGGAAGCTAGTGCCCCCCCTCCAGCAGACTAGGGAGACAAGGAGAGGCTTTTCTCAGCAGACACCTCAGCTTGAGAATAAAGGACTGAGGGAAGTGACGTGTGGGAGAATAAACTGAGCTCTGGAGAAATGTTTGGCTAGAGTTTCCCCTACAGTATGTACCAGTTCTGACTTACATACAAATTCAACTTAAGAACAAACCTACAGTCCCTATCTTGTATGTAACCCGGGGACTGCCTGTATCCACCTATCTAAAGTATCATGAGAGCAATGCATGGAAAATTCCATGTATCGAGTATTCTTCTTTCTATTGTCTGTTAATTTTTCTGATTTTTTTATCAATGACATACTGATTTTATGGAAATGATTAAAATTGGTGTTTTTGTTATTATTAAGAGTAGTTGCATCTTTTCTTTTTTTTCTAGTTTTTGTTATCCGTGAACAGCTTTATGAATATTGTTCACCAAAGGGAAAGTAATACAGTGGCTCTAGAGGTGCCCCAAATAACTGGAAAATGTTCCCTTTGACAGTTATACACTGAACATGTCCTAGACTGACCTTGGCAACAGTGGCCCAGAAAGCAGGATCTACTGAAGGAAATGTCTTTATTTAGTTACATCTTTTCCATGTCTAAAAATGAAGTTCTTTATTACTGAAAGCTTGTTCTAAATTTCAGGGTTCAAGTCTTATATTTTCTAGATGACAGTACATTCTTTCAAAGCATTCAACTGCAAAGGAGCACCAACACAATTAGAAATCCCTCTTTGGTACTTCAGCATCTTCAAAACATTACATTACTTTCTGCTCTTCACAGTCAGACACATTGATACATCAGGGGAAGCTTTTAATCATACAAACATGTCTTTTTATAGACACTCTGCTTTTGAGTTTCCAATTAAGTAGACTGATTTTAAGATGAATAAGGGATCTTTCGGAAAAGGCTTTATTTTCCGAAACATCCGTGTCTAGATTGGCGCTTTTTTCTGGCAAAGCTCCGAGCCGGAAAAAAGCGGCAACCATTTTTATGCAAATGAAGCAGGGGGGATTTAAATCCCTGCTTCATTTGCAATTGCGATGTGTCTAATTTGCATCCCTTTTATGGAAAAGCTTTTCTGGAAGAGATCTTCCAAAAAAACTTCTTCTGAAAGACAGCGTCTGCATAGCAACAGTGCATCGAAAAAACGATCTGCTTTTTCAAAAAATAGTGTCCACGCTGAATGGACGCTATCTCGCATTTAAACTGTGATTACTATGGACAGAGTGGCCACTAGGGCACCTGTGCTCTTTCCTCTTTCCTCTTCTTTCTAAAGAACTCCCTCTTCCCCATCCAGAGCTCTTTTGGAAAAAGGCTTGTTCCTCGTAGAAAGAAGTTTACCAATGTCAGAAAAACCCCTCTGTTCTTTTGATTTGTTTCAGAAAGAACGTGATTGCAGTGTGGATGTAAGTGAAGTTTTTTTTTCAGAAAAACAGTTGTTTTTCTGAAAAAAACTCTGCAGTATAGACATACCCTTATACAGGCAGTCCCCGGGTTACATGGATCCGACTTACATCGGATCCCTACTTACAAACGGGGTGAGGCAATCCCGCACTAGCTACTTCCCCCCAGCAGACCAGGGAGACGCGAAGCTAGCGCCTCCCCCAGCAGACCAGGGAGAGGCTTTTCTCAGCAGACACCTCAGCTTGAGAATAAAGGACTGAGGGAAGTGAGGTGTGGGAGAATAAAACTGAGCTCTGGAGAAATGTTTGGCTAGAGTTTGCCCTACAATATGTACCAGTTCCGACTTACATGCAAATTCAACTTAAGAACAAACCTACAGTCCCTATCTTGTACGTAACCCGGGGACTGCCTGTACACTAACTTAGCTACGCCTCTGGAGCTGATGTTTTTAAAGTGCTTATCACAGTTCGCATTTATAATGTGTGTGACTACTCACATAGTATATTTTATGATCTCTTATTAGATATTTCAACTTTTTAAACAGAACATTGATTTTTTTTCTCCCCGAATGTGCTATAGTGACTCTGAAATACCAACTTCTGAAAGCTTGGGATCAATAATTATGAAAACAGGCCAAAACGTGGATTCACTTACAGACACAAATGATCAACAGGAAAAATATCAAGTACAGGATAATCAAATGATCCACAATATTTCACATTTAGAAGACAAGAGCCAACTTAATCGCAAAAAGGTACAGTATAGCTTGTGTACATTAAAATTTATCCTGTGTTTTTCAATTAAACTATTTTTAGTAACTATTTTTATAGTTTACAATACTTCACGTTCCTCATACTAAATTAATCACTCCAGTGGAGCCATTACCAAGCATTTACAGATTCTGTTTAACTCCGTATATACACAATTAGATCTTGGAGAAATACTTGTTGTGAGATGTTTATTGGAAGCTGAACATATAGCGAATAGTATGTTTCTTGAGTATGTTCCTCTATAGCGGAATAATGTCTTAGGATGAGACTTGCCTACAAGATGCACTAATACAAATAAACAAAAACATGAATTATTAATAACATATGGGCTAGCAAACATTTTATATCAATTTCAATTTATGAACTCTCAGCTTTTTCAAATAAATTACCTTAGAATTATTATGACTCCTTGTTTGTGATCATGCAGTAGAGGGTGTGTTATTTCTTTCTTTTCTTGTTTGTCCATAAACATATAACTTGGGTGTAAATTCTCAGTGGTACCAATAGTCACTCTCACAGTGACTTAAAATGACAATGAGAGTCCAGCAAATTTTTGGTTCTCAAGCCTCCTGGTTTGGAGGGGGTACTGTTAGTGACTGGCCATATAAGGAGACAAAAATAGATTTGCTATCATCCTGGGATCATTGAACTTACACCCACCTTTTTGCAGAAGCAAACATTCACCAAACATTATTTCTGGGACATCCAAGAGACTCTTTCTACCAAGTATTGCCCTGTGGTATGATTTCTTATGGGATATTTTATCTGCTTTGAGGACTGATGCACAAGATCTCAGAAGTACAGTTTAAAACATTCAGAATGGTTGTTTTGGTGTTGCAAAGGCAAAAGTTTGATATTTGGATTTTAGGCTAGTTTGCTGCATTTAGTAATTGAGCTATGCTTTTTATCCTTACAGCGCCTTTTTGACTGCAGCTTGTTTTTGTTCTGTCCTCTTGGATTTAATTTGACAAAACAAAGAAATCAACATAAAAATAAACAAACTATTAAACTATTAGGGTTGCATTTAAAATATTAATTTTGTGATGAAGAACAAAGTACCATACCTGTCTGGTTGCCACAACTTGAATAATCATTTCTTGCCTTGTAGATCTTGGTGCAAAATTAAGAAATATAATTGTAAAATATTTAGTATAACCAACAGTAACTTGTCTTGCTGATAGGTACCAGAATTTTCAAAAATGTCTGCCTGTGAACCTAACTCATATTAAAATCAGTTGGTGTTAGGAGAATATGACTTTTTTAAAATACCAGCAGTTACCTACCTACCTCTTTAGGCCCTTAAACACCTTTAAAAATCTGTCTGTGTGTTCATGACATTAAATTATAAATTCCATACCGCATGTAATAAGTATTCTTAGGGTTGACAGACTAAGAGACTTTATCTTTTCTGCCATTCCTCCTTTCCTTATCACCATGTCTATGATATCTATTAGAACTAAGCAGAAATCAGAATTTCCCTTCCTCATAAAAATTCACATTTCCAATTTGGAAGAAAAAGTTAGAAATGCAATTTTTCCCATTAAATACACATTTCTAATAAAAATCAATTTCAGAAGAAACAAAAAAGAATTTTTGAAAATTTCTAGCTACACAGATATGCCCCCATCTCTGCAGTAGCCTGCCTATTGGAGAGCCACATCAGGGAAAAAGGATCTGTGCCACTGCTCCTCAGAAGTTATCCAAACAGAGCTGGTAGCCAGCCTGCCAGTGGGCAGGAATCTGTGAAGGCTAGTCTTGTCTTTGGTGGTCTGATCACACTTTGTCTGCTACAAGTTTCCTGTTCCTCTATTCTTGTTCCCTCTAACTCTAGCCTGGACACAGACCTAAAAACTTCCTCTCACTGGACTGGAACCTGTCCCCCGTTGAACTCTGCTATAGCTGTAGTCATTTTGTATTTGTGTTCTGTGTGGAAGAAGGTGTGGTTTCTCATCTCCATAATTTTGAGGACAGCTGTAAAGCAATGGAAGGTTGGATGCCAGATGGCTGAGCTTTCTTGAATGAACCAGGCACTGTGATCCTAATGGAAGAGTTAGCAAGGCAGACTCTGCTGTGACTAGAAGCACAAAAGTTTTATTGAAACTTGAACAAAATCTGAGTCTCAGTGAAACTGGTTATTTCCATCGACTGCTCAGAAGAACATAAGAATGGCCATACTGGCTCAGACCAAAGGTCTATCTAGCCCAGTATCTTGTCTGTTGACAGTGGCCAGTACCTGGTGCCCCAGAAGGGTTGAACCGAAGACAATGCTCAAGCAATTTGTCTCCTGCCATCCTTCTCCACCCTTTGACAAACATAGGTCAGGGGCACCATTGTCTTACCCCCTGGCTAATAGCCTTTTATGGACCTAACCTCCATGAATTTATCTAGCTCTTTTTTAAACTCTGTTATAGTCCTAGCCTTCTTAGCCTCCTCTGGCAAGGAGTTCCACAGGTTGACTGTGCGCTGTGTGAAGAAGAATTTTCTTTTATTAGATTTAAAACTGCTACCCATTCATTTCATTTGGTGTCCTCTAGTTCTTATATTATGGGAACAAGTAAATAACTTTTCTTTATTCACCCACTCCACACCACTCATGATTTTATAGACCTCTATCATACACTTTCGGCAGGGTTCAGAAATGTCCCAGTCTCTTTATCCTCTCCTCATATAGGACCCCGTTCCAAACCCCTAATAATTTTAGTTACTCTTTTCTGAACCTTTTCTAATGCCAAAATATCTTTTTTGAGGTGAGGAGACCACATCTGTATGCAGTATTCAAGATGTGGGCATACTATAGTTTTATATAGGAGCAGTAAGATATTCTTTGTCTTATTTTCTATCTCTTTTTTAATAATTCCTAGCATCCTATTTGCTTTTTTGACTGCTGCTGCATACAGCGTGGACATTTTCAGAGAACTATCCATGATAACTCCAAGATCTCTTTTCTGATTAGTTGTAGCTAAATTAGCCTCCCTCATATTGTATGTATAGTTGGGGTTATTTTTTTCAATGTGCATTACTTTACACTTACCCACATTAAATTTCATTTGCCATATTGTTGCCCAATCACTCAGTTTGGTGAGATCTTTTTGAAGTTCTTCACGGTCTGCTTTGGTCTTGACTATCTTGAACAGTTTAATATCGTCCACAAACTTTGCCACCTCACTGCTTACTCCTTTCTCTGGATTGTTCATGAATAAGTTGAATAGGATTGGTCCTAGGACAGACTCTTGGGGAACACCACTAGTTACACCGCTCCATTCTGAAAATTTACTATTTATTCCTACCCTTGTTTCTTGTCTTTTAACCAGTTCTCAGTCCATGAAAGGATCTTCCCTCTTATCCTATGACAACCTAATTTACACAAGAGCCTTTGGTGAGGGACCTTGTCAAAGGCTTTCTGGAAATCTAAGAACACTGTATCTACTGGATCCCCTTGTCCGCATGTTTGTTAATCCCTTATAGATTAGTAAGGCATGATTTCCCTTTAGAGAAATCATGTTGACTTTTGCCCAACAAATTAGGTTCTTCCACGTGTCTGACAATTTTATTCTTTACTATTGTTTTAAATAATTTGCCCGTTACTGACGTTAGACTTACTGGTATATAGTTGCCGGGGTCGCCTCTAGAGCCCTGTTTAAATATTGGCATTATGTTAGCTGTCTTCCAGTCCTTGGGTACAGAAGCTGATTTGAAGGATAGGTTACAAACCACAGTTAGTAGTTCCGCAATTTCACATTTGAATTATTTCAGAACCCTTGGGTGAATGCCATCCGGTCCCAGTGATTTGTTACTGTTAAGGTTTTCAATTTTTTCCAAAACCTCCTCTAATGACACTTCAATCTGGGACAGTTCCTCAGATCACCCAGAAAGGACAGTGCAGGTTTGGGAATCTCCCTAACATCCTCAGCCGTGAAGGCCGTAAAGAAATCATTTAGTCTCTTTGCAATGGCTTTATCGTTCTTGATTGCTCCTTTTGTATCTCGATTGTTCAGGGGCCCCATTGTTTTTTTAGCAGGCTTCCTGCTTTTAATGTACTTAAAAAACATTTTGCTATTACTTTTTGAGTTTTTGGCTAGCGGTTCCTCAAAATCCTTTTTGGCTTTTCTTATTACATTTTTATACTTAATTTGACAGTGTTTATGTTCCTTTCTATTAACCTCACTAGGATTGGACTTCCACTTTTTAAAAGATGCCTTTTTATCTCTCACTGCTTCTTTTACATGGTTGTTAACTATGGTGTCTCTTTTTTAGGTCTCTTACTATTTTTTTAAATTTGGGCCTCTATTATGGTGTCTTTGAAAAGTTTCCATGCAGCTTGCAGGGATTTTACTCTAGTCACTGTGCCTTTTAATTTCTGTTTAACTAACCTCATTTTGCATAATTCCCCTTTTTGAAATTAAATGCCAGAGTGTTGGACTGCTGAGGTGTTCTTTCCATCACAGGAATGTTAAATGTTATTATATTATGGTCACTGTTCCCAAGCAGTCCTGTAATAGTTACCTCCTGGACCAGATCCTGCACTCCACTCAGTATTAAATCGAGAATTGCTCAATTAGTTGATAAGGGAGGATGGGGCACTTAGTATCCCAGCTGCACCTCTGCCTTTTAAATGTAGTAAGAGCCACCCGGGACTCAAACAGTCGCTGCTTGTGCCAGGTCCTGACTGCTGCTCTTCTGCCTTTGAAATGTAGGAAGTGCCACGGGGTAGCAAGAACTGCTTCAGTCCCCACTTGCACCATTTCCCCACTGCCTCTCTGCTTCCCCTGCCCCTCCTGCAAAGACGGTGCTGGGAGGATCTGGCTTTAAGTTGGGCCTCTATTATGGTATCTTTGAAAAGTTTCCATGTAGCTTGCAGGGATTTTACTCTAGTCACTGTTCCTTTTAATTTCTGTTTAACTAACCTCAAATTCATGGAGGTTAGATCCATAAAAGGCTATTAGCCAGGGGGTCAGAATAGTGTCCCTGGCCTCTGTTTGTCAGAGGCCGCTTGATCGTTGTCTTCGTTCCACCCCCTCTGGGGCACCTGGCGCTGGCCACTGTAGGCAGACAGGCTACTGGGCTAGATGGACCTTTGGTCTGACCCAGTATGGCCATTCTTATGTTTTTATGTTTCTGCTCCCCCTACTTGCTTCCTCTGATAGAGGCAGCTAGCAGAGGAAGAAGAGACTAATCAAGTAGTGACTCTACTACCCGATAAGCTTATGTTGCTACTAAAAACTGACTCTAAGAAAGGCTGCTTTAAACAATAAGGGCAGAGAGTCCAGATGGAGCTCAGGATCTTTATGCAAGAACAGAGCGTGAAAAAGCCTCTTCTGAGAAATCTACAAGCCCCCACTGTGTTGAGGACTAGTGATAAGGAACAGCCTACAAAGGAAGGCTTCTGGTACTGACCCTGTATTTGGCATCAGACCCCTTTTCATAGTTGCCAGTATTTGACACACCACTGGAAAAGCCAGAATCATCATCAGAACCTAGGCACCTACCAGTACCCAGCAACAACCACGAAGAGTGTTGTATTCCTCTGCACTGCCCATGGAGGAGATCTGTTCCTACAGTCCATTGCGCTCTTACTTGAGATCTTAATGTCATTATCTTGAAACTCATGGAACCTCTGTTTAAACCAGTGTTGGCTTAGTCACCTTATGCTTAAGGTTGTCTTCCTTGGCATGGTTGATCAGTAAGCTGTAGGTTCTTATGGCTGGACCTCCTTACATATCCTTTAACAGCGACAAGGTGGTTCTGTGACCATATGCTAAATTATCCACTAAGAGAGACTAGGAGTTTCACCTAAGTCAGTCAGTTAACTTGTCAATGTTCTTCCCCAAAACTGCATTTGATGCTGGGTGAGAGAAAACTACTACTTTGGAGGATTCTAAGGTCGTAACTCATTACACTGTCAGAAGTAAATCTTTCAAACTGTATCCAGACCATTTAATCAGAGAGGCTTTCTGATTAGTTTACATCTTCATCTACCTCTCCATCTGTTACTGATAAGCTGGTGAGCTGCTCCATCCAAACATCAAGGTGGGCACCACCAGAGAACAGGCATTTATTAGTTCAGTCTGCTTCAGAAATGTGCTAGTATCCTGATATGGCACAACCTAGTGATTGTCATTTAACATTAGGCTTTTATTATGGCAGCTAGGCTGAATTCCAAGTTTGGGGAAACTGTCTGACGTATCTCCTTCTCACCATTCAGAGTAGGTACAGTACTTGCTAATCATCTACAGTAGGATCCACAATGACACATGACAAAACAGGGATATCCATGGCCCCAAGAGACATTAATACTCCATTCGTCTGAAGAAGTGGGTTGTACCCACAAAAGCTCATGACACCATCTACATGTTTTGTTAGCCTTTAAGGTGCTGCTGGACTATTCATTGTTTTTTAAGTTTTTCCCAAGAGACATTGCTATTCAAAAATCTCCAGTTTTGAAGTGCTGCATGTCTCAGATGAGATCCACATTGACATACTCAAAGAAGTACTTCCATCTTTAGGAAAAATAACCATCCTTTACTTAGGGTTACATAGGAAGTCAGTGACTGAACTTAAATGAACTTCTGTTCTCTGTGGTAGTGGACGGATATATCCAGTAGATCACGGTGCTTCTCATGTAGTTATTTCAAATCTCTATCCATAGACTAAATGTAAAATGGTGGTACAATGCTTTCCTGCCATTGTTAAGTACTTCAAAACCTATGTGAAAAAATACTGTATGAGTACAAACTTGTATTATTAGCCAGATACTTTTAAATGTGACTAGTAAGGTAGAAAGAGGGTTATAGGTTTAGCTGGGAAACTGTTACAGTACTTAGTGAGTTAGATATTATCTCTTGAACTGAGAATCCTGGTTTTCAGCCTAACAGTTAATTTGCTATGAATTTCTAATATATTTTTCCAATATTTTGGCTGAAAGGAGGATCTCCATGTACACACATGGCTGTCTTAAGTTTCTGAAGGAGATGTATATCTTGTCAGGGTGGCATTTTAAATTATTAGTTTATATTATTACAGTAAACTTCCGATAATCCGGCACCTTTAGGACCCAGGGGGTGCCGGATTATCAGATTTGCCGGACTATCAGAAGCGGGGGCCTGGGGTGGGGTGGTGGGGATGACACCCCAGACCCCTCATAGCCCCCCCCAGTCCGGCTCTGCCCCAGGCGTCCCTAATTCAGCCGCTGCTGGTCAGTTTCAGCAGCAGCTGACTTGGGGACACTTGGGACAGAGCAGCTGGGGGGCTGCCAGGTTGGTTTCGCAGCACCAAGGGTTGTCGCTACCAGACCAACCCGGCAGCGCCCCAGCTACTCTGTCCCAGGCATCTGGATTCAGCCGCTGTTGAAACTGACCAGCGGCTGACTCCAGGAAGACCGGGGCAGAGCAGCTCTGCCTCGGGCTTCCTGGAGTCAGCCGCTGGTCAGTTTCAACAGCGGCTGAATCCAGATGCCTGGGACAGAGTAGCTGGGGCGCTGCCGGGTTGGTCTGGTAGCGACAACCCTTGGTGCTGCGAAACCAACCTGGCAGCCCCCCAGCTGCTCTGTCCCAAGTGTCCCCAAGTCAGCTGCTGCTGAAACTGATCAGGGGCTGGTTCCAAGAAGCTGGGGGCAAAGCAGCTCTGCCTTGGGCTTCCTGGAGTCAGCCGCTGGTCAGTTTCAACAGGTGGGGCGCTGCTGGGTTGGGTCCCGCAGCCCCGAGGGGCAGCACTATGGGACCAACCCGGCAGCATCCCAGCTGCTGTGCCCTAGGCGTCCCCGATTCAGCCGCTGGTCAGTTTTAGCAGTGGCTGAATCGGGGAGCCTGGGGGCAGAGCAGCTCCAATGGTCCGGCTGCCCGGAGCACTTCCGGGTTCCTGATGATGCCGGACCATCAGATGCTGGACCATCGGAGTTTTACCGTGTATTGGGCACCATTGTTCACTCTATTAAATCTGGTGATTTACATTATAGTTATTTACAATATAAGAAATGTAGTCCTTTGCTTACACAAAAATTTTTTTGAAAATAAATTAAAAACACATGCAATTTTGAAAACAAAACTTTGTTTCAGAACTTATGAAGGACTTAAAAACAAGGAATTTAATAATATATTTTTGAATGAATCACATTTTGCATATGGCAAGCAACATTGTTCATCTTGCATCAACTGAACATTGAACAGGTTATTAGCCTGTTTAAATTACAGATTCTAGAAGTAATTATCATTTTATATTGAAATATTCTAGGAAAGATCTTTAAAACTATATGCACGAGACTTAGGCGTACTCAAACCCGACATTTGGGGATCGTTGTATCCTATTTCAGGCAGATTGTCTAATTTGGATTTATCCGAAAGTCTATGCAAGCATTTGAATCTTTGAGCCATTACCTCATTACCTAAATGTCATAAAAAGTGAGATATTGTAGGCCTTGAAGTGTTAAAACCTCTTTCATCCTAATGATGATCAATGTATATTTCCTCCCATGGTATTGCAGTCCACTGTTTTTATCCCCTTGATTATGCCATAGTTAGGATCCTATAAAAATTATCTTAATAGGACAGTAGTTTTCTTTACCGTTTTTAAAAAAATGTTCCTACTCCCCATGAAAAGTAAATAAATCCATACTTTTCATTACAATGTTATTTGTCCACACTTCTGCATGGTTTTATTCATTTTAATTCCGCTTATTTTGCTGGGGATTTCTGACATTTATTTCCTGACAAATCAGTAAACTTTGGAGTGTTATCAGTAGATGTGTCAAAGTAGAAAGCTGCTTAATCTTTGTCCTGCTGTTATTTATTTAGGGTATCACACAGAACAAGGACATTGAGAAATCACATTCCCAAAGGAGAAAGATCAATCCTTACATAACAGCTCATCCATCAATTATGAACAAAGGTAGGAATTTTAGATACATTTAGGGCGAGGTCATGAAAGGAAAAAAAGATGTTCAAAGAGTTAGCGCATGCCTAATGTTTGCATGCAAGTGCTGTTACTGTGCATACCCAGTCATACGCTGTTTTACTATGTGCCTATTGAAATATGACATATATAAAAAATTCACCCTTTAGTTTAATGAAATTCCATTCTAAATAGTGATTACGTAAAATCGCATCTTCTTGTTCAGCTTATGAAATGTTTGTTTATATCTCTAATCTATTGATTTTACTGATAAACATGTTTTAACCGCTGTCTATTACTTTTAGCCCTTAAGAGCCAATACAGCTGTGAGCCAGTTCAGCTGTGAGTGCACTATTCTCAGTCTGGTTCAGACCTTACAAAATTCTGTTGACTGAGCACTGATTATAGAATCTTTATTGTTCATAATGCATCAGTGAAAAACCTGGAATCAGGTTTGACTTCCAAATCCCAGAGTGAGTTTGCAGAACTGGCAGTTAGAAAAAACCCCCAGCCTTTTTTATATGTAAGCTGAACCAGCTTGATCTGGAAGTTATTGAGACACAATAAATATAGAACCCTGCAAGCAGTTTTTAGCATCATTTTTCTGAGAGAACCACAGTTTGGAATACTAATGAAAAACTAAAAATAGATTAATAATTATGCCATGACCTTCCAGTTTAGTGACCTCCCACTTTATGTTTAGTAAACAGAGAGAAAAGAAGAAATATTATGGTCCAGAAACCAGGCTGCTCTGTTTTATTGCGGGAACGAATTAAGTCCTTGCAGCAACAGATAGCTGTTCTGCAGAATGTAGGAAGGACAACAGCATCTTCTATCAAAAAACTTAAGGAAGCCAATGAAAAACTAACATCTCAGCTACATCTGGCTGATCGAAGACTTCAAACCAGCAGACGGACAATACAGGTAATGACTACTCGGTGGAAAATGTAACCGAAAGATCACATTGCTGAAGTCCGACAGACAGATTCACCCTTTTTATAATTCCATGGAATTATGTCAGAATTGCATGTATGCTCTTTCATTGTTGCGGTCGATATTTTGATAGAGCATGTTTACTAAACTCAGTACAATTGAACATATTTTATACTTGTGTTTTGAATCAGTTACCAGGTATAGCTGGTGATTAAAATAGAAGGCTTGATTCACCATTGCATCTGTATGAACCATTAATGTCTTTAAAAGAACGATTGACACTTACATGTTGCCTGGATTCTATGTGAGAAGGCAGTTTTGAATGGAAACTGGGGCTCAGTTGAGCCCTAACTGTGAGGAAGCTTCCCTGAGGAAGCAAGATACCTTGGCCATAGCTATTCCTGTACAGCGGTGGTGTCCAGCCAGTTCTGAAGCAGTGGCCACTATAGTGGCTATGCTATAGCCAACTAGCCACACTCATCCATATTTCAGATTTTGGTGTGTGTAGGGGTGATCTGTGCACTGATACTATCGGGGGGAGAGGGCAGGAGGGCCATTTGGCCCGAGCCTCAGGAGACCAAAGGGCCTCAAATTTTGACATTTCTCTAGCAAGTCATTTTAATTTATTATGTACCTTCCAGTTAAAACAGAGACAACAAAAGAAGCTATATAAACCTGCAAAAAATTGATTTAAATGATTGTGGGACCTCAGGCCTTCACCAATTTTTTGGTCACATCTGAGTTTTCATCTGCATGAATGGAATAGCTTCTGTGATTAGTAATTCTATGCTACGAAACACTGTTTATAGTCTTTGCATATTTTAGAGGTTTTGAAATTCGTAATTAATTATGTTACCATAAAGTGATTTTGCTTCGTTTGAGGGTGAGTTTAACCTTTAAATTAGATGTTTATCTCTGCATAGGAGATTTTCATATTCCTCTTTTTTCTCATGTGTCTTCGTATACAATAAGCATATCAGGCTCAGCTGTAAGCTACCTCTTCATTCAGTTTTAGATTCACCTTTAAAGGCTTTTTTGCGATAATAAACTCTTAATTATAGTTGCTTAATAAACTTTTTTTTCTAATCTAGCAATTGCCCTATATTTATGTTCATAATAATGCACCAATTATTAGAGGAATTTAATAACAGAAACATGTTAGCAGACGAAATTTCAAGACGTTGAAATAAGGCCATAAGGGCCATAGTAAATAACACTCCCAAACTATTATTATATAATATTCTTTGCGAAGTATATACAATTAAAATTTTATATATCCATTAGCCTTTAGTGAATCAATTTATTGTGTGTTACTATGTTTTGAAAGAACCCCTTTATAAAAATGAAGCAAAGATTTGACAGTAGTGCAAGTAAGAGACAGCAGTGTGAAGCAGAATTTAAGAGTTTAAAGCCAATAACATCATTTCTGATAGAAAAGACACCTCAACCATTAGACAGTGACCATACAGACAGTGACACTTCCATTTTTGATGATGAAAACTTTGTACCCACAAATGACATTTCAGTGCCACCGCCTCAAAATGAGGAGGTCATTAATCAAGACACAGACATGCCAACAGTAGCAATGGATGCAGAATCTGTGCTCCATTTTGAGAATATGCAGGCAGAAAATGAGGACCTCAGAGATGCTTCACAGCAAGAGCAAGAACTTATGACTAGCACAAGACATAACAGATTGGACACCACAGCTATACAAGCATCAGTGATTTTTAGGGTATCTGACTAGTTTCAGATTCCAAAACAGAATGGAGCAACTTGTGCTGTTTCAGTCCTCTTTGGTCAGTGTCTAGAATCAGCCCCACGTCTTTTTAATCCTAGATTTCTCTGTTAAGGTGAAGCAGAGAACAAGTTTTATGAAACTGGAGAATAGCAAACTGAATGATAATCCCCATCCCCAAATGCCAGTTTCCCTCCCTTCATTTAGGCTTCTCTCCACTTCACCCATATTCCTATGCCTTTTTGTTTCCCCTCATTCTCAATTTTTATATATACTTTGTGTTAATTTGTACAAAAAATCCTCAGCTGGAACCCCTTCCTACTCATGCAATAGTGACTTGCGTGTCTTTTTATAGAGCTGATTCAACATTTCTGCAATAATTGTCTCCTGTTGGTCATGCAAAAATAACCTGCCTCCAAAATAACTGTGCTACAACAGATGGACTTGCTGGAAGGAGGCAGGCATTAAAAAAGAGATCAAACTTTTCCCCTTCTTCCCTTCTCTAGTTTTCTCTACATTTTTTTTTAAATTTTCAGAGAAGGCAAAATCTCTATCATGACAGGGCCTTTTTACTGTTTGGGGTGGGAAGAACTACTAATTTCCAGAGGGGTGAAATTTCATTTCTGTTACACCTTTTGCATAACTGTGTGTGCATTATGAAATGTTTGAAATGTTCAAATACAGATGGTCTAAAAGCAGCTCTAATGACTAGTTTAGTGCTCCCTACTTCATAAGTAGTATCATCATGGAGAGGTTCATGGACTGTATTTTTAATGTGTAAATGATGGTTCTTTTAAGCGCTCTAAAATCTGTATGTGTACCTAGATTGTCTTGAAGTCTGTGATGCCTAGCTGGGATATGTGATAGAATGAGTGACCCAAACTTGAGGTCATTTGAAGAAGAGGTTTCTGAGAGTGCCCTCAGCTAAGAAACAGCTTTTCTTAAAGTTCAGAGATTTGATTGGCTCTTTGGGACATATCTAGTGTATGTTTACTCTGCAATGTAAGTCTGGGTTCAGAATCAGACTCAAATCTAACTTGCTTTCCATCCACATACAAATCCCACTAATATAGCATATCAGGAAGCTGCAGAGGAGCAGGGTCTGATCCCAGGTCAAGCCTTAACCCAGGGTTCGAGCCATATTGCTTTGCAGTGTAGATGTAGTTCCTCTTGACTTCATTTCTGAAACATCCAAAAAGTATCCCACAATCCCATGGGCTCTCTGTACCAAGAACCTTGAATCTACTTTATTGAAAATGGAAGCTGTCACTCTTCATGTACTTTAGCAGCTCAGAGAGTGGGAGTTAACCCTTCTTACCACTGAGCTATTAATACACAAGCACTAAGCCATCTGTGCTTGCAATGGAGAATGAACAGAAAAAGCCTTTTGCAGAATGTGCTGCTTCATGGTCATTGGAAAACAGCTTGATTTTGGTAAATATCAATTTATTGTGTGTTACTATGTTTTGAAAGAACCCCTTTATAAAAATGAAGCAAAGATTTGACAGTAGTGCAAGTAAGAGACAGCAGTGTGAAGCAGAATTTAAGAGTTTAAAGCCAATAACATCATTTCTGATAGAAAAGACACCTCAACCATTAGACAGTGACCATACAGACAGTGACACTTCCATTTTTGATGATGAAAACTTTGTACCCACAAATGACATTTCAGTGCCACCGCCTCAAAATGAGGAGGTCATTAATCAAGACACAGACATGCCAACAGTAGCAATGGATGCAGAATCTGTGCTCCATTTTGAGAATATGCAGGCAGAAAATGAGGACCTCAGAGATGCTTCACAGCAAGAGCAAGAACTTATGACTAGCACAAGACATAACAGGTATAACAACAGTGGCATCAGAACCTGACATTGGACTTCTTGATAAGAACAATGTTGCTCAAATGCAGTCATTTCTGAAAATTAGTTGTTTACAGATTCCAAGTAATATACCGAAAGATGCCGAAAATCATGTTTTTTCCACTTGTCTGCTGACAAAAGCTTTTCCAAATGGAGAGAGCTACACAAGAGACTTAGGGTATGTCTACACAGCAAAGTTATTTCAGAATAATGGCTATTATTCCAAAGTAACTATGAGTCTTAAAATGAATCTTAAATAGGGTCATTTCAGATTTTGGTGTGTGTAGGGGTGATCTGTGCACTGATACTATCGGGGGGAGAGGGCAGGAGGGCCATTTGGCCCGAGCCTCAGGAGACCAAAGGGCCTCAAATTTTGACATTTCTCTAGCAAGTCATTTTAATTTATTATGTACCTTCCAGTTAAAACAGAGACAACAAAAGAAGCTATATAAACCTGCAAAAAATTGATTTAAATGATTGTGGGACCTCAGGCCTTCACCAATTTTTTGGTCACATCTGAGTTTTCATCTGCATGAATGGAATAGCTTCTGTGATTAGTAATTCTATGCTACGAAACACTGTTTATAGTCTTTGCATATTTTAGAGGTTTTGAAATTCGTAATTAATTATGTTACCATAAAGTGATTTTGCTTCGTTTGAGGGTGAGTTTAACCTTTAAATTAGATGTTTATCTCTGCATAGGAGATTTTCATATTCCTCTTTTTTCTCATGTGTCTTCGTATACAATAAGCATATCAGGCTCAGCTGTAAGCTACCTCTTCATTCAGTTTTAGATTCACCTTTAAAGGCTTTTTTGCGATAATAAACTCTTAATTATAGTTGCTTAATAAACTTTTTTTTCTAATCTAGCAATTGCCCTATATTTATGTTCATAATAATGCACCAATTATTAGAGGAATTTAATAACAGAAACATGTTAGCAGACGAAATTTCAAGACGTTGAAATAAGGCCATAAGGGCCATAGTAAATAACACTCCCAAACTATTATTATATAATATTCTTTGCGAAGTATATACAATTAAAATTTTATATATCCATTAGCCTTTAGTGAATCAATTTATTGTGTGTTACTATGTTTTGAAAGAACCCCTTTATAAAAATGAAGCAAAGATTTGACAGTAGTGCAAGTAAGAGACAGCAGTGTGAAGCAGAATTTAAGAGTTTAAAGCCAATAACATCATTTCTGATAGAAAAGACACCTCAACCATTAGACAGTGACCATACAGACAGTGACACTTCCATTTTTGATGATGAAAACTTTGTACCCACAAATGACATTTCAGTGCCACCGCCTCAAAATGAGGAGGTCATTAATCAAGACACAGACATGCCAACAGTAGCAATGGATGCAGAATCTGTGCTCCATTTTGAG